CAGCATTATTTATATAGTAACAAACGGGAAACAATCTAAATGCCTCACTATAGAATCTGTAAATAAATTATGTCACAGCTACATAATGCAAAATATGCAGCCATTTGAAGTCACATTATAGAAAAAAACTAATCATAAGAAAATATGTTCACATATCTAAAAAAAAAAAGCAGATGGCAAGTATAATTCCCATTACGAAAAATAAACAAATACACATGCATTTAAAGTCACAGAAGAAAGTCAATTTTAGAAGTGTTTGGTTTCCAGAGAACTACCTGGTTCTTTAATCATCTTTCAGTGAGCTACTCTGAAAATGGAGGGTTACTCTTCGTGGGGAATATCGCCTGTGTCATACTCAGGTCTACAGCCACCATCCTAACCTCTTCTCTATATTATGGAGACTGTGGAAACAATAGAACTACAATTCTTACCATCCTGTCTTAGCAGAATTCAGGTTTGGATTTTGCCAATGATTTTGCCTCATGACATTTGGAAGACAGGCAGAAGGGAAAGCCTTTTCTGTCCTCTAACACAAAGACTAGATATGGGAGTATACAGCAGCCATGAAGCTTGCAGCGAAGCCAAAGGCACAGTAGTTACAGTTCAGCCAGATGATCAGGTACTGGGAGAAGTATGTGGCTTGACCTCTGCAGTAGGTATAGACCATGAGTATATTCAGTCTCATTTGAACGCTCACCAAAGGACCTTCATTGCGGAGAGTAATAAGGTTCCTAAGATGACTCATTTTGCGGCAATCAGTCAGACTCCTTCCCTAGCCATCCCTGCTGAAGGCCCACAAACTAAACCAGCAAAAGAAATATGAGGCATCTATATTAGCATCAGACAATACCTTGTAGACCTTGAGGCATAGGATTGGTAAAGATAAAGAGGCCCATGAGATAAACATAAAAAGCTCAACTCACCAGGAAGATGCAACAATTCCACATTTCCATACATTTTACAACATAGCTCAAAAGTCTATATGCAAAGTTTGACAAGACAGAAGGGGAAATTGACAAATCCACTGTCATTTTTTTGGACATATCTGAGAACTTTAAAATATCTATCAGATGTCAGTA